AAGTATGGAAAGCAGCTCATTATTCAATAAATCCTAAGCTGATTTTGGCTCTAGAGAGCTTCCTATAGGCAGAGCTTTCCAGCTGCTGCAAAGGGTTTGTTTCTGCGTTGTAGCTGAGCATGTTGCTTTTGTGGACCGCAGACAACGTGCTTCACAAGCACTGCCATCACTAGGTGTGTGTTAGAGCCACTTGCCTGAGCTGCATCCCCTTCCAGGAGAGGAGATACTGCTTTGTAGACTGCACTGCTGCAGGTGTAGGGGTGTTGGTCCCTTACAATTGGGAAGAACAGGAAAGGCAGACACAGTGCAGGGAACATGGCTCCCTTTGTCCCTGTGGCTGAGAATCCTGTGCCAGCAGCTGATGGGAATAGGAGAGGTGCATCAGAACTCGCCATGGATACATGTCTAACTTGCTTTCCATCCTGTCTGAATGTTCAGTGTTCATGCTGATACCAGTCAGCAATGTGATTTTTTTTTTTTTTTTTCCAAATGTCCAATGACTTCTAAGGAATACATGCAACGAGTATTAGACAAAGCTCTGGTGTTCTCTCAGCCAGGGCCCACAGCTTGTACTTCGTACTCTGTTACGAGGTGTGACTCCTGAAGACCTCTTTTTAAAGGTCATGCTGTTTGTGCTGCATAATATAAAATACAGTTCCACTGTAAATTAAAAACATACTTTACAGCTTGCTGCTGTGTTTCATGAAGGTGAACAAGATTTGAAATCACAGGTCTCCTCGGTTGTGGAAAATATTTAATATCATCCTAATAGGGCCTGGATGGCTTTATGGACCGGTAATAAGCTACAGAGGCCATTTCAGGGCACCTTGCTACATACTGCTGCCTACTTTTTCATCTGCCCCCAGCAGAACATTTTCTCATTGTTGACACTGAAGACAGCTGTGCTAGATTTGATTTTACTTTGTTATGGGAATTTTGGAATGAACTGTTACACTGACTAACCCACAGCCATCTCTCTTAGATATAGGGGATATGCTCAGCCATGTTGAGTTTCACTCTTGGAGTGAAGGAGATTTGCTATGTTGCAATGGATCACAGGTGTGCTCAATCTCCATTTACACCCTGCAAGGATTAAGTATCCAATTACTTGCCAGGAGGGCAACTTTCAAGAACATTGTCCTTTCTTTGCAGGTAAACCATGGTATGGAAAATGGATTCAGAGAGACCTGCAGTTTGATTCTGAAATTCACCCACAACTTCTCAGGGAGCCTGGATCAAAGGTAAGCAAATGCGTTAAAGCCACGGATATTTGACTGCTATTTAAAAAACAAAAGTGAAAGGTGTTTTGATTAGAATGTGTTTGCTCAGTTTGTGTAGGACATGTATTGTGTGTGAAATAGGTATTGGAACACAGGATAAAATAAAATGTTTGATAATAGGATGTGATGGAGATGATAAGGAATAAATAGGATTTCAGAGAGATATTAGAGAAGCAGGAATTGTAAGTAATACAAAGACGAAACTGAAGAGTGGATTTCTTTCGTCTAATACAAGATGTGTTTCACATGAAATGTGAGAGAGATATGATGTGTTGAAGAGATATATTTCACATGAAATCATATGCTTTTTGAGAACTATGGAAACTATAATTGCACATTTGTAGGGTCTTCTATCAGATGCTGTGTACTTTAAGAGTGGTGTTTGGATCAAAGGGGCAGCCTAGGCTTCAAAGGAAGGGCTGCTTATTGAGTTAGCACGTGCTGCCAAACAGATCTGCAGGGCAACAGCTGCTACTTGGCAGGCCCTGGCACAGGGGTGTGAGGCATTGCAGTAGAGGAGGGGGAGACAAGGGTGCCTGTCTTAAGGCTTGAGACTTACCCTCTAGTTTACTTTTGGAGGTGTAGGAATGTAGTTAACCTGCTAACATAGCATGCAATTAGAGTGCTCTCCAGCAGCAGTCTCTTGCAGCTTTTGTGGGAGAAAGGGCTATGTTTTCTGTAAAACTCAGCTCCATCTTCCTAATCCTACCATATCCTCCTCCAAATATATTCTTAGTCCTTGCATTACATCTTCAACTTGCATGAATACTCACATACAATTACTGAGTTAGGAAAAGATATTTCTTGCAGTTTTTTTTTTTTTTTTTTTTTTTAATTACAAAGCCATTTTTTAATGTTTGAGTATACAATCAACATAATGTGCAGCATATTAAGAATACCTCAGAAAAAGCAGAAGAGAAACTTCTCACACACTGGCACAAACTAGAGAACTTTGTTTCTTCAGTATCTGTGCTAGAAGAGATGGATTGCAAATTATTTTAAACTGCCAATTAACAAAGAAACTTGGTCAAACTGTCACGGGGATAGAGTTTTCATCTATAAAATGTTCTATGATATTTCTGTAGGGAAATTCTTGATCAGCACATCTTAAGGTGTATTTGACATGACTGAGAATGCCTCCAATTACTTCGTACATGTTCAATTTGAGCATATATTTAATGTTACACTGAAAATTGTTGAAATACAGAATACAAATCTTTAAATATAAGCAATCAAGAAAACTATACCAGGGTGAACATCATCTCACAAGCTTAAGGAAAAAAACAGACACAAGGTTCTTTTTTTTTGTACTGTACAGGAATGTTGTTCATGCAGTCCATCCCACAATTTTATACATCAGTGCCCTCAAATGCCTGGCTTCATATGTAACGGTATTTTTCCCACTGTGCATCCTGTTCTCCTCGAGGGGCTGCTCAATGACAGCTGGGATGTTTCTTCCATACAGTTCACATTGCTTCAGAAATTGGACACACTCTTGAATGACACTGTCACGTAGCATGATCATGTGCTTGGACATGTTCTCTAGCAAGGACAGAAAACATCTTTTGGCATAATACCATGTATCAGTGCTTAGTTTTTTGTTATATGGCTCCAGGCTTTTAATGACCCTCGAAATACCAAAGTCATAGTTTCCTTTCACACAATAAAGAGTACCAATGACTAGATTGACAATACAAAGATGGTAGATATTTTTATCAGGATCATCATAGGACAGTTGCTCTTCCCCCTTCTCAATCTTCCTCATCAGCTCCTCTGCGTCTTCATTCTGGCTTGTCAGGATGTAGGAAACACAGAGATTAGCTAACACGATGGCACTAACATTAAGAATGTTATCATAGTGCTTTTTAACTATTGGCTCATAGAAGCTAATAGCCTCTTTGTACTTGTTTTCTTGCATGAAAAGTACGTGAGCCACGTTGAGCTTCCATACCTCGTGTTCATTACAGAACTCCACTGATTTGCGGAAAATCTTTTCTACCATTGTGTAGTTCTTCATGTCCCAATAAATTTTAGCCTGGACCATCAACACGGGTATATATTTATCCAAAGTCTCATCATACTCATTAACAGCCTTTTTTACAGCTTCATCATCCCAGTTTTGCCTAGCTTCCTGTATTTGCTTTGTGAGTTTCCTCAGCTGCTCGGTCAGCATCCCTGCTGCGTCATCCAGCTTGTAGAAAGCCTCCTCAGGGGCAGTCTGACAAGTAATAACAGCATCCAAGAAGTTGTACAAGTAAGGTGTGAGCAGTTTGTAGGTTAGATGGGCATTCTCTGCCAGCACGTCAGCTGCCAAGTCATAGTACTGATGCTTGCAGTAGAGGAGCAGCAAGTTTCCAAAGGTTTCTGGTGGGCAGGGGTTCTGCAGCAAAAGAAACTGCAGTTTCTCAAAGCCCTCTGTGGGCTGGGTGTCCATGTTTATTAGCGCTTGGTTGTGGAGCGTGACCGGGTCCAGCTCCTCCTCAGCTCTCGGCGGCATATCGGTGAGCGCCTCCTGGGCCGCCTTCCGGTTGTGCAGCTGGTACTCGATGGCAGCCTTCAGGTTGAAGGCCTCCACCAGGGCCGTGCGGTGCAGGAGCAGGGTGTTGCCCACGCTGCGCACGTCGATGCCCTCGGTGGTCATGCCCACGCTGAGCTCGGGATGCTGGTGGATGCCGCACTCGATTATATCAGAGATGTGCTTGAGGGCAGGGGCGTACTGCTTGGTGGCGTAGCAGCAGAGCGCCATGTTGTAGGACAGCTCCGGGCAGTAGCCCAGCACCTGCATGGCACCTGCGAACTTCCCGCCGGCCTCTTCGTGCCGCCCCTGCCGGTACAGCAGACAGCCCAGGTTGATCTCGGCGTCTGCCCGCTCCGAGGGGTCCTCGGCCGTCCCGAGGCCGCTCTCTGCGGCCAGCGCCTCTTCCACCAGGCTCTTGGCTGCCGCCAGGTCGCCCTGCCCGTAGTGGACGGCGGCCTGGAGGCGCAGGGCCCGGCCCTGGTAGGAGGGCCGGTCCAGCAGCGGGCTGGCGGCCCGCAGCGCTTCGGCGTACAGCCCAGCCTTGTAGAGGGCCTGCGCCAGGTACAGGCGGTACGCGTCGAGCTCGGGGTGCAGGGCCGCCAGCTGCTCGTAGCACTCGGCCGCCGCGGCGAAGTCCTGCAGCTGGTAGTAGCAGTAGCCCAGCAGCGAGAGGCCGCCCCGCGAGCGGCTGCTCCTCTGCAGCTCGCGGCTCAGCAGCGCCGCCGCCTCCCCGCAGCGTCCGGCACGGATCAGCCCGTACACCGCGGCCGTGTACTGCCCGTCGGGCACCGGCGGGGCCCCCATGGCTGCCGCGCCGGAAGCAGGCGAAGGGTGAAGCCGTGCGGCGCCCCTCACTGCCGTGGCAACGGCCCCCGCGCCGGAAGTACTCCCGCGCCGGAAGCGGGGTATCGGCTCGGCGCGGGGCGCACTGGGAGTTGTAGTGCGGCGCGCCGAGGCAGGAGTCGGCCCGGGCCGTTTCGCGTGGGCTGTGGGGCTCCACGCTGCGCCGGTACCTCCTGCGGGGACGGCCCGTAGGCTGGGCCACCCTTCCGCCCAGCGCCCGCAGGCCGTGAATTGCCACACAATTCTAATCAAGGCAGACCTAAGCCACTAAAAGGCTTTCTCTACCCCCAAGCGCAGCTCGTGCTTCCGTGCAAACCGCTGTAGGGGCTGAATTCAGCTGCTAAACAAACGTACGCCATCTCTGGCCTCTGTATTTAGCGGCATGGATCTGATCACAGACTTGGAGCAGCTGCCTCCAGTCACCGAGAATCGCCATCATCTGTCACTCTGGGGAAAACGGCTTCCTCTGCTCACCCTGCTCAGCTCTCTGGAAAGGCCGAAGCACCAGGGCAGCGATGTGCTACCCTCACTGGCCTCGTCTGCGCTCTAGCAGCAGGGAATGGAAGAGATGTGTAGCTAGGGTTAGGACAAGGCTGCACCAAGGTGGAGGCACTGGTAAATTCAGCTGTGTCCACCCCTCAGGCACACCGGGCAGCATGGGATGGGGAGAAGTGGATCTGAGTGAATCAGGACTTGCCTGTGGGAGTGCTGAGCCTGGATGCTGCTATTTGACTGTGCTGGTGAGGGGGCTGTGGGCTGCAGCTGTGCTCTGTGCAGCACCAGATGCATACGAGTGCTGGATGCCCATGACTGCATGCTCTTATGTCCCCTCTGCCTTCCCAGCATTTCTTCTTTTCCTCTCATTGTTTATTACAGTGCTTTCAAGCCTCTGCTGTGTGCTAATTACTGGTAGCAGTGCTAAGTAGGTTCTCAGTGCCAGAACGAGATGGGTTTGCCATGGCTGTGTCCTTGTTTTTCTAGCAGCTGTGACGCAAATGAGACCTTATGCCAGATAAAGAAATTGCATTATCTATATTTGCCTGCTTTCTGTTTTCCCCCTTGTGCTTTATCTTTTAAGCAGTAAACTGAAATGTTTAATAATAATATCCACATCAGCTAGAATAGATCTCTTGTCCTTAAAATACTACCTAGAGCTGAATGTTTTCCTCAGTTCAGTATTTCCTGAAGCTGAGAAGCACAAAAAGTAAAATTAAATAAATTTACTGATATACATTTTTTCCAAATCTTTTTTTTTTTTTTTTTTTTTATAAATCTTCAGTAATAGCCTTAAGTATTTCTGAGCAGTTACACTGTAAGAGAAAGGCTTAAGTTAAACATGTTACCTTGGGACACAAGATGGGAAGTACTTTATTGATGCATTGTACTCTGTGAATATGAAATTTCCCTTTTACAATACATTAAGAGCTCAAATTTGTGAAAGCTGATGGAAGGATGTTTGTATCTTAATAGAATATGACAGCTCTCCTACTTCAAAGGAGTAGATCAAATATTTTCTTACTTTTCTGAAATTGCTTATTTCAGCAGTAATTTTTCCTTGGAGGGAAGTAGATACGGTGTTTCTATTGAGTAGTGCTACATCTGGTGTCACTGACTTGTACTAATGTATATAATTTCTATACAAGTAAAAAGTTCTGTTGAGGTCTTTGGCCTGATCTGGTTTCTGGTCGTTCCCTAATAGTGCCAAGTGCAGCAGGTGAAGTTAGGTTTCTTCCCAGGAATGACTGCTGCAAGGTCATGTTTCAAAAGTTATATTTGAGCTGTTCGGTTCCATGTGTTTTCATTGTTCTTCTATTTGTGTGATTCACAAATCAATATATACAGCTTTGATTCATCCTGACGAGACACTTTCAATGAAACAAACAAAAGTCAAAATCACAGGAACAATTAAGTGATTTATTTATTTATTTATTTTTAGAGAGAGCAATAAAACCAGATTGTTAATTTCAAAAACATGCTTTAAAAAGCTGAATCAGCGTTGTTTGATCTACTAAAGCAAAACAATGAGGGAAATGATCTTAAAATGCAGAAGGGAAAAAGGGGGCAAGGATATTTATTGTGCATTTTCAAAAGTAAGTAGGATGCGCTTTCATTAGAAAGTGCACACACTGTTTGTGTGCATGTGTCTGTTGTTGCCCATACATGAAGGTTCAGAGCTCACAGTGGTACTCTCCACTCTACTGTAAGATGCAGTTTCCAACACGCTTATAAATTGGTAATTAAATATGAGATATTCTAAGAAAGAAAAGATATAGATCAATACACAGTACAGATTTCAATACTGTCACATTCAGATAATGAAAATCCCTCATTTCACCTGCTATTTACCTCCAATTCCGTTTTCTTAGAAACCATTCACATCATTTTACTATTGAAATAATCAGTTTCTTTGACAAAGCCAATGAAAAAAATAAGTCTTACTCTTACATTTTCTTTCCCAGATCTTTCTAAGCATTGGAAGTGTCTATTAATATTTTACATGGCCTTAAAATAAACCTGTCTTAAAATTGCACTCAATGCGTAAACTGTCTGTAACTCCAATTGTTTAACTGTATGAAGGGAAAAATAAATATTTGGCCTGTAGACTGAAACACTCCCATTTTTCTATTAGGATCAATTAGTCTAAATATTACAAATTATCTTAGGCACTGCTGGTTGCAGTTTTCAAAAACAATTTGTGAATACTAGTATTGGCTTTTGCTGATAACTACGGGCACATTATGAAATAGCAGTGCACTATAAGGAGGAGCAATTAGCAAGGACACCAGTCCCAAGAATGCAGCTGCTATACCAAGGACACCATCTGAATGAATACCTGAGCTAAAAAGAAACACACTCATCTACGCTCTAGTTATTTTCAGCAGGGTACTAAACATACTAATGACCTTCTCAGCAAGATCCCTGGTCTGGCAAAGGAGAGCAAGCTGGCTAAGACAGAGCTGCATGGGGAGTTACGTGTCTGATTGCCACATTAGGCATCCAGATTAAACTTTCATGAGGTACTGTTGCCTAACCTTGTATGTGACACCAAACTGTCCTGCCAGAAGCAGCTGTCTAGGTCTTGATCGAGTTAGGAAGTTTTGTTTTGCTTGTGGGTCCTAGGCTGGAAGAAAGGCCTGATCAGAGTTTTGGGGCAAACTGTCTTTTATGGCTAGTACCTCTTGGTTGTCTCATTCTCAGGAGGTGGGAAATCCTTCTTCTGTCTGCTCCATAGGAGAGTCTCCAGTTCAAGTTCTCTGAGCCTTGAGCAGTACTTGGCTTCCTGGTGTGGTCGCAGAGTTGTACTGCTGGGCTCTTCTTTAACCTAGGAGGATGCACACTGGAGCCCCTCCTGAGCTCTTCTACCAGTGCTTTTTAGCCTTGTGCAGCTCCCCAGGCATGAAGCAGGAACCATACAGCTGATTGTCCCATCTCCTCGATAAGCATGAGTAAGGGGCTTCAGCAGAAGGGCAGAAACAGGCTGCCCTTGTGCCTCCTTCTGGGGAGCAAGGTGCACCTGTAGTTTGAAGCTCGCTCTGAATCAAACAGGATCTGAATGCCAGGTATCTTCCTGGTTGTCCTAGGTGATGCTATAGCGTTTAGATCTGTTCTTCCTTGTTGAGGAAGGGTTCATTTTGGTAAGCAGTCTCACAAGTGGGAATCCTGAGTGGAAATGCTGCCTGGCCTGAACTATTTTTGAAGATTGCATTAGAACTAAACTGAATCAGAGCACCTTTGAGGAGAATGCAGCTCCTATGGATGCACCTTGTGCTAACTCCATTTTAGCACTGTAGTTGCAAATTCTTGAGTCCCTGTTGCAGGCAAAATTTCCACTGACAGCAGGGGCAGAGAAGTGGAGGACTCCTCTGTCACTGAGCCACTGCATGTGGTGGGTATCTGCAGGGGGAGGCCAAGCAGCAATCTACCAGCACTGGCCTAGGTAACAGTGGGATCTCGGTCCTGCTTGCCTTTGTCCTCACCCTGCTGGCCCTGTGCTTTATATGCAACCATGGAGCCTATCTCATGCGTTGTGATCTTGTGCATTGGGCAGGGAAAGGAGGGGGGAAAAAAAAAAAAAGAATTCAGACTTCATAACCCCCAGTCATCTCATCTGTGCTGTGTGTGTCTCAGGACAGTGTCAAAACTGACCAAATTGCTGGAAGAATGTTTTGGAGTCAGAGAGAATGAAAAGCAGATACAGTGTCTGCCTATAAAGCTTGTAAGCACTCATTAATAACTGTTTTCTATCCTTTTTAATACGAGAAACTTGGAATTTGATTCTTTTTTGCTTCCTTGAAGAGTTTTCCTTTTCTCTCAAAAATGTGGATCTTTTGCTGATTCCTAAGCTGTATATATATTAAAAAAAAAGCTTTTATAAAATAATAATATTGAACTGTATAACTTTCAGACACCAAATTCTGCTCTGTGATATGCTGCTGTGACCCCCCTGATTTCAGCAGGGCTGCCTCATTTTGCCTGAGAACAATTTGATAAAGATCTAACTGTGCTCTCTCATTTTCTTCCTTGTGATGGAGGAACAGAACCATAACATTAGTCAGCACTTTCTGGATTTTGACCCACAATAGCCGAGCTACCCAAAGACAGGAGAAATAGATGGAGGCAATTACAAACAGTCACTTGATTGATGGTTGACATTGTTAGAGCTTCAGCTGGATGTCAGGTGGTGCGGTGCTGAATTCCCATCACTGCCGTGGGAGTTGCCATGGGCAACAGTGCACTGAAGCCAATAAAAAGGAGAGGAAACGAGGGGAGACTCAACCTTGGGGGAAGCTTCAGGATATGTGCTGTAAATTATGTTACATGTAGCAATATGCAATATCAAAATTCAGGAAAGCTCTGTGTACCAGCCAGCAGTACTGTGTCAGTTCCTGGTGTCTGCTTCCCCCATAAAGTATGCATTACAAGTTACACATGTCTTGCTGTTTACTATCCTGCATCTATCTTTATTCAGGAAAGAAAAAAAACTGGTAAAATAATAGCAGAAGCATTTCCATTTTATGTGTACGTTCACTGCTGTGCATTCTGTATTTCTGCTCCTACGCAGCTTCATTGGATAGAGAAGGTGATATGGTTCAGTTGCATGGTAACAGGTTGGTTTGTAAGGCTACTGAAACTTCCACCTATTCCCCTGTACACGTGATTGGTAGCACAGAGGACTTTGGTTTTGTTTTGGGCTGTGTTTTTACTTAAGGGAGCGCTCAGCAGATTTGTTGTTTCTGTTTGACTGTCAGACAGATGTCAGCTTTTGAAAGGTGAGAAGGACTCCTTTTCACAGGGAAGCAGGGAGGCTCTTTTTGGCATTCATTTGGTTGAGCCAGGTTCTGGTTTCTGTGAAGCTGGTGCCAGTTCAAGGTTATTCAATGAAGCAAACGAACATCATCACAGGTGTAAAATGTATCCAAATTCAGCTTTAATTTTGGTTGCCAGACAAGCCTATATTCACTATGGCATTTTCAATGAGTACAAAGGCTTTTCTTCTCCCATGAATGGGAACTCTTAAGCGCTGCAACATGACTCCTCTTGGGTCCCATCACGCAGCAGAGAAGGCATCCTCAGTTCAGATGCCATAGCTTTGCTGCACTAGTGATCTGTGCACTAATGGAAGGAGACCAACTTTCACATAGTATCAGTGTCATCACACAGAGCTGAACGCATTTGGTTTTGTGACCTATTGGTTTTGATTGAACTTTAAAGAACCCCTCTACCACAGATGTTTATGTGTGAGCCTAGCGCTGTGCTAGCTGTAATAACATCATCTTAAAGTGTACTGAAAGTACTGCAAGAAAAGTAAGAGGTAGTCAGTTCAGTATGATAATATTCTTTAACTTTACCATTTTAAAATATTCATTTCCACTGCAAATTATACTGGAGAGGTTCATCCATGGTCCAGTTTTCAATTTAATATAAACCTGAAGCATAAGGCAGCAGATTTCCTTTTTATTCTATATTCATTGAAGCCCATTACTTTTTCCCTTAGGGTACACTGTAAATTTAAAAAAAAAAAAAAAAAAAAAAAAGTGCTAAAGGTGTATTTAAAAAAAAAAAAAAAAAAAAAAAAACAACCTCTAAAATTAGCATGCAGTGTTTTGTTTTAATGCAAGCTTCCCCTTGCTGAGAAATTTACTGCATTGTTAGTATGAATTTCTCAGGGAAGCAGGGACAGATTGGTATTTTTAAAGATAATAAAGTTTGTTTTTAAATGTAGCAAAGGTAGGCAATTCTAAAGGCCCTGATCAATCACTAAGAAGCGTTGTTGTAAAAAAATACTTCTTTAGAATACAAAGCAGGCTTCTCAGAACATCTAGGCATAAAAGAGGAAGGAAGAGAGGAACATCATAAAAGCAGGCATAATGGATTCATAACTGTACTGAAGAGATGCAAAACAACAATGCAATTACATACTATTGTGTTTTCCTGCAGCTTCTTGCATATGAATTGACCACCTCATATTGCAGTTCTGCTCTGTATTATTAATTTTATTAAGTTGTGAGTTCTTATATTTCAGTCTGTTGTCAGTTTTACAGATTTTTATGGTAGCAGCTGAAATGTAGCAGAGCTGAATGAATGTTTCTTGTGCTAAGTCGTTCTTGTCGCTTTGGAAACCAGTGTAATCTTGCTGCAGGCCTTCCCTTCAGAAGGGAAGTAATAGCAAACCAGGCTGCCATCAAGATACCATCCGATCAATTAAGCATATCTGTGAAAATGTTTCTTTAAAAAAATAAAAAAAAAATTAAAAAAATGGTGTGCCAAAGCTTTTGAAATCCTTTCAGACGGCTTTTATCATAAATAGACACTGACATTTGCAGGCTTAATTTATGTCTTTGAGAGACATGGTAAAGGTAGAGGTAAAGGAGGATGAGGATGCTGCCTGAGAAGGAAGTCTTTGTTGGTGCAACTCCTCCCATTTACCTCTATTTACTGCCACAGAGTCCAGCATAGGCTTCAGTTTCACATTCAGCTTCACAAGACACTGGATAAAAATAGAGAGGAAAAAAAGTTAGTATTTCCAGTCTGCTGATGGATGGTCCAGGGAGTTACATGATAAAAAGAACCCGATCTGCACTGTGCCCTCACCCTTCTCACCTCCAGTTGTAAATTCTTTGTAGGTAGTTTTTCATTTCATTTGGGATTTCTTTATCTTATACTCATTTGACCTGAGGCTTTAAGTAATCCACCAAAAATGTCAAAAAAACAAACAAACAAAAAAAACCACATAAAGTGGCAAAACTGCTGTTCAACTACTTTGGCTTTCTTGTAGGCCTTGAAGATGGTCCTTCTGAAGCATCCCCAGTGTCTGGGGCTTCCTGCTTGCTGCCTATGAACTAGTGAGAAGGCAAGGAGTTTTGTTGTTGTTGTTTTTTTTCTGCTTTAAATAGCAGATTTAACAACAGCTAGTTTAAATGGCCCCCAGAGCCCACACAGCACTAAGAACTGAATGTTTTATTGCTAGCTTGCAAACCATGTAGTTTGGCTAGCTATTGAAGTAAGTCTTGGTAAATTTTTAATTGAGCTATTATATGATAATTAAGGGTTAATGGTCTGATCTTAAGATGTGCTGAAAAAGTGCAATTTCAGTTGACTTCAGTAGGAAATATGAATGCTCAGCACTTCTATAAAATCATGCCGTGAGTAAGTAGCTGATTTGTGTGGAAGTTAAAGCAAATTTAATTAAAATTATTTGCTGAGAGTGTGGTGAGGACCTACGCAACCTTGGGCCTGGAGTAAGAGGCAAAGCTGACAGTGGTCTCTGCCACGGACAGCACTGCTCTCTGGTGGCATTCATGCTATTTCTGGGATGGCTGTGCGTGAGTAACACTCCTATCACCAGACCTCACGGTTCCCTCTTTTGAGCACCATATTCCAGACTGTTATGTATTCCCCAAACCTGGTTTAATTGAATCAAAAATGGAGGGGAGTAATGCATGCTAGACCTCTCTAAGGATCTCACTGCTGTTTCCTTGATGCCTGCACTGCCTCTGCCAACACTGCAGGCATTCTCATTTTGATGGCAACTTAGCAGATCCTTTCTGTGCGTATGCAAAGCTAGCATCCATCTCCTGAGCTTGCTGGTAGGAGACGACAAGCCTCTGATGTGCATGTCTGCATCACGTCCCACAACCAAGGGTGCCAGGAGGACCGTGGGTGCCTGAGATGCTGAAGCCAACTGGCTATGCACTGCCTGCAGCCATAGACACCCAAAGCCCTAGGAGACCAGAAGCAGTATATCTCTCTACAGCTACCTGAAAGAAGATTGTGGAGAGCTGTGAGTTGTTCTCTCCTCCGGCATAACTAGTGATAAGATGAAAGGGAATAGCCTCAAGTTGTGCCATGGGAGGTTCAGGCTGGATATTAGGAAAGATGTCTTCTCTGAAAGAGTGGTGAGGTATTGGAACAGGCTGCCCAGGCAGGTGATTGAGTCGCCTTCCCTGGAGGTGCTCAAGAAATGTTTAGATGTTGTACTAAAGGACATGGTTTAGTGGTGGAAATACTGCTGATTGGTGGATGGATGGACTAGATGATCTTGGAGGTGTTTTCCAACCTTGATGATTCTATGATTCTAAGCAGCTGCACCCCATAATCACTGAATCTTATGAGCTGTAAAGTCCGAAAATAAATTGTTTGTTAGAAATGTATGCATAACCAGAATGGTTAACTAATAACATTAACTGTGATGAAAATAAGTCAAGAGGAATATTTTAGAAGGAATAAACCATGTCTTTGATATTCAGTTTTACCACAGTACAAGCAATTAATTCTATGGAATGCTGACAAAATATATAGTGTAATTTTAAAAAACTTTATTTTGTTCTACACTAATTTAGATTAGGGCTACTCGAAAGTGCAGATTTTGCACTTACTCCATGAAATATCTTTATTCAGACATTGATTTGATGTTCAAACCGCTGCTTCTGGATTTAGTATCCTTTCACTTCAAGACTCTTTCATTCTGATCTAGTCTTTTAATTAAACCAACTACTATAATTCCTATGGAAATTAGCTTTTATTTTTCTTCCAGTTACCAAAGCATTTCAGTAGGACTTTTCTGGTACAAAGTACACAAATTGGATTTTACTTCTGCTTGAGATGTAATTAAAAACTCATTTGATTGCTATATTTCTGGCTCTGTTTTAATTATTAAACACCAGTAATCAATTTTCTTTTATGAAGCTTTTGGGAAATTATCTCAAAAGCAACACATTTCTTTCCCTTCTGGCAGGTTCTTGACCATTTACTGAATTACATTCAGAGCACCTGCTCCTGATCTGGATTAAATCACCAATTTATTCCTAAAGCTATTTAGGTTTATTTGGCTGTAACCTAGTCAGGGTTTTCTGCCTCCTGGCTGCACTTTTTACTTTCGATTTTATTGCACAAAAGCCTCTTGATGTACTGCTCTTCCATGCCTCTATTTTTGATGCATGCCTTGTACAAACTGCTTTGCTAGTGATCTGTCTAATTTGCTACTCAGCTTCTTAGGCCCAATTTATTCTTCACTTCAATATGAAGAGGTTTGGTCTTCAACAGCTGTCTGACATAGGATACTTCCAAATAATGCTGAAACTTTGGAAATGGCCCTTTTCCTCAGTTCTCTGTGGTGCAGCAGGTGGGCTGTGGGACAAATCCAGAGTCCCTGTCCCCTGCCTGCAGGCATTCCTTCCTGTGCAGTGCAGCTGCTTTGCTACACAGAGATCGGTGTGGGATTGGAAACTTTCCCATTTCATCCCCTTTCCTGTAATAGCTGCTCATTATCACAGGTTGATAAAGCATGCTGGGAGAGCAGTCCCACCAGTGGCTCCCATTCCAGCACTAGGAAAGGCTAAATAGATTTGCAGTCCTCCTCTGTAGGCATGCATTACCTCAGGTATGTAACTAAGCTGTTTCTCAGAAAGTTATTGTATAGCACTGACTTTTTCTACCACCTTCAGTGATATAGGCAGCTTTTGTGACTATGTACTGCTTGTAGATCATCTGGCTCCAGGGTGGTGGGGACAGAAGACTGCATCAGCATCTGCTTCATCTCTGGAAAACACATTGTTTGAACTAGCCAGGATGCAGCATAGATGTGGCTGAAAACTAACTATTGCTTACACAAATACAACACTGTTGTGCTCTTTGAGTCATATGGCATCATTTTAAGGGGGAACATAGCATGCCCCAGCTTACAAACACTGCAGTACCTCCAGAGTATTGTTTTATTTATTTATTTAGGTTCTCGCCCAAATATTGACCAGTTGTTTAACTTGCGCACTTTGACAAGATTATGACTCGTGGAAGTATGGCTGTGGGTCTAATATTTGTAAAGTGAGTTTATGGAATAAGACCATATAAATTCAGTTTTATGACTGAGCACATATCAAAAAGTTATAGGTCGCAGCGTTCACTCTGCTTTGGAACCCAGTGGTTTCTAATGAATCACTTTTATTATGTAGGCAGTTTCTGAGTTGGAAGGGAGGACTAGTGACCGAGGAGCCACAGGGATAAATTCAGACCTCGTGTATAAGCACATGAAGCATTGCTGAAGTCAAGAGAGTAGTGACCAGTTACAGCAAAGCTGAATTGGACTCCTGAGTTTTGCTGAAGTGGCTTTCATGTAAGAATATGTAGGCCAAAGGTGAGCCATCTATCTGAAAATCCTTGAACTTCAGAATAGTTCAGATAAAAGGGAACCTGCACTGCAGTCATCCAAAGATTTGATCCTTATGATATACTTGATGGAAGATGTTTTGAAAAACCAAAAGCATTTCTGCACACAAGCCTGTGTACTGAAACCAAAGAAGACAGATAAAATTCTACCTTCTGTAGGCAGCACGTAGAAGATACAATATAAAGAAGCATCAGAGATTAAGTTCTGTGAACCTTTTGATGTTGTGTGTGTGACTTAATTATTTGCCCCACTGATTCAGAGTCATACGTTTTCATTGGGTTCCAGATGAAATAGATGACAGTACTGTATTTGAGAGGAGGTTTAATTGATTGTCCAGTGGTGTGATGTGCAGCGTACTTCAGGGAGGGAAATAGATACAGAGTTCTTCAGGTAGCAAACTGTACTCTGACTACTATCAATACTTTGCTGTCAAAGGGGAGAGTAATATTGAGGGACTGGGTACCTACTGAAGTAGCTTGACAGATGTGTTGCTACAGTTGCAAATGATTCACATGTTCATAATAATTTGAGGTTTTACTCAGTTCCATAAATAACTTGTTTAGCTCTGCTCTTTATGGTTTTGGTTCTGCATCTGAAGCATGCAAAATCCAAAATGTTTCTACCCCTTCTCCTTTCAACATTTTAACCAAGCAGCCAATCAGTGCCTTCTGCCTTACTATCAAATGGATTTTGAAAAACTTTTCAAACCGTATCAATCTCATATCCTCATTTAGTTCTTTGAATTTGCCCTCAGCTGGGAATTCTGCAGGCAACTGTGATTCTGTTGTGTTAAACACTTACTTGAAGTGTCTCATCCATCATCATTTCTAGTCCTTTTCTGATGCAATGTAGTTTGTGCTTCATCTTTCTTGAAAACTGAATGGCTGTTAAATTATCCATTTATCTTCTTTCAGATTTGCTGTACAATTTGAGTTCCCTCTATCTGCTGTCTCTTCTACCTTATCTGCCAACATTTTGGTTTACTTCCTCAAATCTGTATGTGCATTTCCATACGTGACTGCCTGTCCTTCGCAAAACATTGGGCAGATAATCCTAAGTAAAACAGCAACACAAACTGCAGTGTTATGAATTACTCAATTTTCTCACAGATTGTGGTGAAAGCCTTTCATGAAGCCTACTTTCACTGAAGCCAGTGGCAAATATTCATTCTTCTGTATCTCTCAAATGCTCAGTTGATGATTTGCTCTTTCAGTTGAGGTATTTTGGTATCAGATGACTTAGAAGTAATTTGAGGTGCTCTTTTCTGAAGAGAAACATGTTTCCTCTCTTTCTTCTTCCAAGCAATTTGGGAAAAATTGTAAATT